TTCTTCATTTGGACATTATCACCTTACAGATAAATTTTAGATAAACCTGGACAAAGGACTGATTCATTTTGCTTTTCAGCAACCACTCTGTTTTTACAAGATGGGATTCATATAAGATGCGAATCTATATGTTGATGTTTCAATCATTTCTCTTAATATTTACCAAGAAAATCAATAGTATCCCTGGCCTTTTGACTGCTTTTTAAGTATGCAAATATAATGCAATTTTTCAGCTTTTGAATTTAACTTTAGATGACATGACATTTCAAGCTCAGTTTAGAGATAAAAACACGACAGTAACATACACAACTGTAGCACTGGTTTTAATAGAGTAACAAGAAATGTAGCCACATATTCTGCTTAAGTTTCGCAGCAGAAATTGCTTCTGCATCAGAGCCTATTACAAAATGCAATTCACTAAGGTCTTATGGGTGACAAAGCTTTAATTAGCATCACATTGTTTTCTAATGTGATTTTGCACTTGTAAAAACAGGATTAGGAATCAAAATATACTTTTATAAATGCCAATTTTAATTGCATTACTGATGGTGTGCAGGTCTTTAAGCGCCCCACACAGTTTCTCACATAATACCTCTGTGTGGAGGATTAAGTGTGAGACATAAAGAAAAGATGGCATATATTGTCTAATAAAACACCTTTAAAGAGGAACTGCAGTCACTCGTGGTCTGCAGTTCTTCCTCCAATATCAACACCTTCTGAGGTTGGCATCCCCACAGCAGTCAGCAACCACAAAATAGATACTGCTTAAAAATTCTGCCGGGTTAGTCCCTGGTAGGGAAGCATGAAGAGAGGTGCAGGATGGGTGTGCCTGCTTTAGAACAAGCCTCTATACCCTCTAACTTCTTCCAGGTCCTTCTTTAGAAGACATCTGCATATTTTCTTTTTCCATTTAACTTTTTCCATTTAACTGTGTTTTGCTTTTGCATTTATTGTTGTGTCATTCTCTTTCCACTCTGAAGGGTTCCATTGAAGGAGGGGGCCATCTTTTTTCCTTAGGGAATATTTTCTAGACAGTCAGGATTAGCAGGTCGGTTCCTTGAATTAAGATTTGCTGTAAAAAAAATCACACTATTTCATCATTGTCTTGCGCTTCTATTCTGAGTGCTTAATAGACTCTGCTCACTCACCTGTACCAGACACTTTTCATAGGTAAACAACCACCTTTCCTCACCTTTTAAGCAGTAGTAGATCCCATGACACAATGGGGTTAAGCAATTTATCAAAGGTTAGCCAATATTTCAGTTGGAAAAACAAGACCAAAGCATGTATTTCTACTTCCCAGCTTGCAGCTATAATTACCAGACCTGAGGAAGATAACAACTGGAAACTCTATGAAGGGATGTCGTTTTTTTTTTAAAAAAAAGCCTATTTTTGTTTGGTTGTGGGGGTATGAAGTAAAGCAATAGTGCATCTAAGTTTTGTTGTTGTTGTTGTTGTTGTTGTTATTTTTGTAGAGGAATCTGAACTGAAGTGACTTGAGTTGAAAGTATTAATTTTGTAATGTTGCCTCAGTGCTGCAAATAAAATGATTATTTGGAAAACTAATTAGTATTCTATAGCAGCTCTATATAGATCCAGTTATTTCCTTAGACTATGATTGTGTCCATTTATCTATTTGCTTATATGACTGGGAAGATAAGACATTTTATATTCCAATAAAAAGGTAATTGTATTATTTGTTGTTTGGATTTCAAAACCTAAAGTTCTTTGTAATTTTACTGTTTTATTTTTCTCTAACTCTATTTTTTTTTTAAAAAAAAAAAGTTCAAACCAATAGGAAAAATACAAGAATAGTCCAATGAGTTCACTTGTTTTCAAATCTTGGTTTTCTGGGAGGAAAAATACCTCACTGTCAGGTCAATGTAAATTTTTTAAGTTTCTTTTTTTTTCATTTCTCTTTAATTTCTTCTTAATTTCTTATTGATCCACTAACTAGAGGATTATTGTTTGATTTACTGAGTGAGCGGGCAAGATTGTCTGGGTGAAATTAAATCAGTTGACCTAGACTTTTTTGCTAGAAAACAGGTTGTGCAATCTCAATAGCTCTAAGCACTCAATAAGATAAAGCAGGAGAGAAGAGCACAGCCAGAAAGCTCTGTAATATGCCTTCTATTTTAATTCATTATCATGCTTTGGCTGTACCCATTAGGCAGAGGGATTTTATAGCACAAGTCTGGTTCTGCAAATCCAATGGGAGTCAATGGCCGTGAGATTTTATTTCATTTGTCCTTAGTTGATGATATGGAAATGACTAAATAGAAAAAGTTCTGTTTTAAAAATGTTTCATACACCTTGTTTCACTTTAACCCAAACTTTTTAGGATCAATTTCTGGTTTTGTCTCAGCTAACTTTTCTCTGCCCCTCTCTTTTCTCTCTCTTTCCTTCACCCCACTCCTATGCTCATTCTTCTCTCTGAGCTTTCATTTCTGTTTTTTTTTTTTTCTTTCACTTGCATTTCATTCAACTAATGCAGTAAACACCTACCATTTTCCACCTATTAGAGACCTTGAGCACTTTCCAATATCAGCTCCAGACTGTGGCCCTCTGGAAAGCCCATCCTGATGTGGCTCACCACTCCCTCTGTAACTCTGTGGCTGCTCAGATGTCATCTCAAGCAACTGAATATCTCGTGAAGCCTTTCTGATTATCCAGCTGTTTCATGTATGCCCCTCTTACATATGCTCTGTCAGTAGGTCTTGCTTTCTTTTTAAAAAATATCTTTGGTGTCATCTTTCTTCTGCTTTGCCCAGGAATAGATCTTATCACACAGGTACATGGAGAAGCAGTGAGTAGCCTGAAATCTGTTAGGTAGAAGGCAGCAAGTTAGAGAGGCCAGATCCTGAAAAAGCAATTCCAAGAGGATTAAACAGCAGAGGTCTAGACCCAGACAAAAAAAGTATAGCATGAAGACCAACCTTGTTTGTATGCTCAGACTTTAGGGTATTGAAAACCTTTTTTTTTTTTTCTTTTTTTTTTAACAAGGGTCCTACACTTTCATTCTTCTTGGGGTGCCAAAAATGATGTCGCCAGAATGCTCAGCAGAAAACCAAAATGGACCCTGTGGCCTTCATGAGAAACAATGATTGTAAGTGAAATCCTAGGCTGGGAGGCCTAGAAACCAGGAGGATAACAAGTTCAAAGCCAGCCTCAGTAACTCAGCAAGCTCCTAAGCAACTCAGCAAGACACTGTATCAAAAGTGATAATAATTAAAAGAGATGTGGCTCAGTGGTAAATCATCCCTGGGTTCAATCCTCAGTCCAAAAAAAGAAAAAAAAAAAAGAAAGAAAAGGAAAGGGGAAAAAAAAGTGAAACGCCTATGGTAGGTAAGGGACTGTTCCCTATTCCTCAGAACACAACCAGCACCTCTTGGGTTTCCTATTCCCTAAACCAGCTACCTCACTGCCATCCCACCCCTCCTCTCCCTGGAAAACATTTCTGGAAAAAAAAATGCCAGTACTAATGCTGCTTATACTGCCATTTCTCCATTGGTTCGTCCACACACGGCTGCTCCTGTAAATTTGCTGGGCTCTCGTTTTTCTCATCTGTAACAAAAGGGAGTCTGACCTATGTAGTCTAAGTACCCATGCATTAGATTCAGGAACAAATCCAAATTTTACTTAAATATATTGATTCATGGGGACACAATTAAAGCACCGATGGATTTTGACCAATGCAACCTCACAGAGTACTTGACATGTCATTCTAACTCTGGCAGCTTTGACATTGAATAGAGGACTCCTCTCAAATGGTTTAGTGATCTCCTGTTGGCTGGATCAACCTTGCTCTGGGACATTCATTTTTGCCTGTTTTGTTCTTTACTTTAAGATGATGCTTAATAAGTCTTAATTTTTATTCTCACAATTTTATGATGAAGCATTGATCACAGTTAACGTCTCTGAGCACTTTTCCTGTGTGAAGCAGCATTCCAAGTGCCTTGAATCTGTTAGTTCTTTAGTCCTGAAACAACTCTGTTACACAAGTTTTATAATCATTTCCATCTCCAGAACAGGCTAAAGAAGCACCTTGCCTGAAACACATTAACTCCTTGCCTGAAATTATCCAGGTAGGAGGTGGGGGTTCCTGATCAGAAACCAGGTTCAGAACTCATGTTCCCTTGTGAATATACTACATTGCATCTTATTGTTTAAAGTGCTCCAAGAGAAAGCATATCCTTGGCTAATGTTTGCAGAGTAGGTGAAACTTCACACGTGCTGTATAACCACAATTTGGAGGGTAGCTGCGAACACTACAAGACTGTTGGTTAAATTTTCATACTTTGCAATGTGTGCTAGCAGCAGGAACTCTGAATACAGATGCTGATGCTCTAAGAATGCCACTCCATTTGGAATTCAAGGGAATGAACCATAACAATCAACAGGGACATAGAACAACCCCACATCAAAGAGGTGAAGTTAGTCACAAGTGACAATCCAGTGTTAAATAATTAAATTGTTTTAGCTGTTAACTGTAAGCGAATGTTGTTTTTAATTGCACTTTAATAATGCCATGCCCTTTATAACCAAAATTAATGTTTTCTGTCGCTCTGTTTTTGAAGTATGTGTCAGTTTAATTAAACTATTAATGGTAGACAGATTTTAAGTACTTTATATTCTTCATTAAATTGTATCTGTTCAACAAGCATAAACAGGGAAATCAAGTTGGTGAGGAGCAGTTCACATTCTGCCTGATAAATCACTCATCATCAGATAAGACTATGCTGCTTGCTTGTCTAGGTGCTTGCTCCCAGTGATGAACAAATCCACTTCCTGTCTATGATATCCATTGGGTTCATTTAAAAATAAGTGTTGACAGCTTCTTTGAAAGACATGTGAAGTCAAAGAGTTTGTCAAGCTTTTGTGAAATAAATAGCCCAAACGCAGGACCTGAGCAGACCGATGTGTTCCTGGCTTCCGTTCGTCCTGGGTGCCCTGCTGCCATCTCACTCTGACAATTTGGGGGAAAAAGTCTGCAAGAGAGGCTGACTTCCTCTCCCTGATACTTGCTCGATGGGCTGATTATAACTTGAGTCTCCTGCAAAATCCATGACACCAAGCTAACATAAAGAAGTCATTTGTTTTTATTGCCAGAAATGACCATTGATAAAGGAAACACTGAGCACACCCCAAGACTCCCCTGGATTCAATTCAAGAGAATCGACTGAGTCTTGGTTAAAGATCAGGAAGGGCTAGAGCAGAATAACTTCTTATTTCTTCACCCCATTGATGACATATGCAAATTGAAAAAAGGACCCTAATTGGCAGACACTTAAAGAAGCAGGACAGTATTGAAATTACACTTCCCTAGCAAGAGGAATCTCCGGGCTACATCTGCTACATAGAGTCAAAGATGTAACATGTTATAATAGAGATGAGTGTGTCCTTCCTTTGTGTGGCAGATCAATCAATAGCTTTTCATGTGATCTTGTTCACTATTATGTTAGTAATGAAACCCTCGTGTGATGTGACAACTGTGGAATAACATTTGGTCACAAAGCTGGTGTTAACAAGCACAACTGGCACTCTGGTAATTAGACTGATTTCTGGTCTCTTCTTTCACAAATTGTCGATAAGTGCAGTAAACAGGCCAGTGATTCCTTTCTGAACAGCTATATTAAGCTTCATAGTCTTGGAAAATCATCTACTAGGTTTGTTTGTGGGAATGAAGCCATAGAAGGGAAAAATATATAATAATCTTTCCATTCTGGCCAGCCTGATTATAGTAAAATCAGATATATGTTTATATGAGTCCATGTATGGGTCTCTTTATCTATTCATCCATCTATCTATCAATTCGTCTATCTCTAGTAATGAATCTTACCAGTACAATTCAAAGGATATATATTTAGCATATTTAGTTTTAATTAACTGATTATAAGCAAAGAACGTGATCCAGACAGAGAACCAGGGTAGGTCCCTAGGTTTAAGATTCACTGAAGCTGAGGGATAGAAATAGCACATGAAATGGGAAGCAGAAACGCATGTACACACAGTCTTCCTTATACTTTTGTACAAGAGAAGCTCTATTGGAAACATAATTAATGTATAAGAAATTTAAATGCATCAATATATTTCTCCTTATCCACTGAGTGCTGGGCGGTGTTCACCCTGTTAAGAACCCTGCTCCATGGAACTCTGATGTGAGCAGGCAATTCTAAGTTCTGACACGCTTCCAGACAGTCAAAAAGTAACTTTGTTTAAGTAAATCGACATTATAAAATAGCTGGGAATGTTTGGAAGCCAACACAAAATTCTGGTAGATTCAGGTCCTTTGGGAAGACTTTGTTTTCAACCCCTATCTCAGTCCATCCCTCCAGTCTCTGACATTTGTTTGCTGCTAGATACACCAATACTTAGAGACAAAAACATATTTGCCATGTCAAGTTTTATCTTTGGGCTTTTCCTCTGGACTTGGAATTTCATTCTCTAGCCATTTATTGCATCCCATTTTTGTTGTTGAATTCTCATGGATATTGAAGTACTTCAAAGTACCATGTCATCCTCCATCCACAAAGATGATTCTTATATTGGTTCCATGCAGGATTTCTCATGGTTTTCCACTTCGGCATGTGGTTCAGAAGCCAGAATCCCATTTGTGGTTATAAATAGGACAGGCAGAAGGGTCCTAATGGCAGTTAGGCTCAAGCCCTCAGCCTCAGGAGCCTTGATTTCACACCAAGTGTGATCCCGGGCTTATGTTCTCGTGTGGTGATTCCCCAGAGATTTATGCAAAATACTTCAGCTGGCAATTACTGAGCGGCTCGTCACCGGACAGTGAGGGTACAGAGATGACAAGACATCAACCTTGCCCTCCCTGTCTCTGCAGCCTCAACAGAAGAGATGGAAAAGCAAGCCAACAATTTCAAGAAGAGGTGCAAATGTGAAAACAGAATGGGGAAAAGGTCCAAATGAGGGGAATCTGACTCAGCTTAGGGAAAAGAAAAGGCCCTCAGGAAAGGTGGTAGGTAGCCTCTGAGATTCTAAATTAATAAGGAAACCAGCCTGCTGGACCAAGGAGGGGCAGGTAATGCTAGAAAGGGACAAGCCTGTACAAAGGCATAGAGGTAGGACCAACCACCCAGAGAACCCCATGCAGTTCTGGTTGCAAGGCAAAAGCAGATGAGAATTCAACCACGAAAAATGGACAGGAAACAAACCCTAAAGCTTTTCTGTGAGTCATTCTGAGAAGTTTATTTTCATTGAGAAATCAATGATGAGGCGATGGAGAGGTCAAACCAGGATAAATGCAGAGGTTTGAAATTTTTTTTTTTTATGAAGGAATCAGTATTTTGGCAATTAGTTGATTAATTAGGCCAAAATTCGATGAGTTCCATTTTAAGTCAGTGGTGGTGACAAAAAGGAATCATGTTTATTCCAAAAGAATGTCGCTGGTCTAAGTCAAGCAGAAAAGACCCAAGACCTGGCTACAGGGCCCTATAGAGGCTCTGAAGGAGCAAGGACCATGAGCAAACAGGGCACACTTACTACTTATCCTTTCAATGTTAATGTCCTGGGGTCCCCAGTATGATCACTTACACATAGCCCTACCTGAATCTTATTTAACCTGCCTAACAATATGTCGAGGCAGTTGACATTGCTCCCGTTCTATGGTTTAAAAAAAAAAAAAAAAAGTGAGGCTCAGAGAAGTTAACCACTTGCCCCAAGTTGTACAGCTAACAAGGGATGATTATAAGATTAGAACAAAAGTCAGTCTGACAGCAAACCCTAAATGGGCTTTCTCGCACACTCACATTTTCAAAAACTCATAGGGACTATGATCCAGACATGACCACTTTCTTGGGAT